AAAATGCCAACTGGCTTTGAAAAATAATTTCTGTTTTCCTCTTCTGCTGCATCTCTCTCCCAAGTGTTCCCAGCGTTGGATAGCTGGAGCAGCAGTGCTTAATAGTGACATATTTGTGGATTACATTTCAGCATTAGTTTGATGAGTTACTTTAAAGTCAAAATATCCTTCAAATGCCCACCCAAAGTCTGTCAGTCTCTTAACACTACACATCCTCTCCGGAGGGATTTGAAATTCAGATGTCTCTGTGGCTCAGCACGAATGGCTGTGCAACAAAATACAGTTGAAGTTTGACAATTAATCATGAACACATAATGAATAACAAATAATTTCTAAGCATGCATGCAGCCAGTGCAGTTCTACCAAATGCTCAGAGGGTTCTTCTACTTACTCAGATGATTTTGTTCCCTTATGTCAGTATTTATAGCAAGAAAATGTTAGAGATCATGTTACAGCACTGTAGTTCTAAGCACAAGACTAAGGAGTGAAGTTGATCACTTTGTCATACAGGTATTGCTCAAATGCCTCATTTCCAAGATCAAAGGCTACAAGTTCAGACTCTGCTTTCCTCTAAATGTCAATAAACAAGCACCAATGAGCAAACTGTCACCAGGATCTTTTTTTCTTTCTGCGTATACCTTTGCCTTCTCAGAACAGACAATGGATCAAGCATTGCATTTTGTCAAAATTTTGCCTTAAAGCTGTCATTCAGTTATAAATAAAATACATACACAAGATGAATTAACTAGATAAACAGATCACTATTGATCAAAAAATATAACTCCAGACAAAATTACTGCCAACTATTTGTAAAAGGGTCTTTATTATACTTTATCATAAGGTCTCTTCCTCTTTTTTTGGCTGCTTTGCATGTATTCCATGAATGCCTCTCCACTCCCTTCATTTCTTTCCTCCACAAGAGGCCCTGTACAGAGAATGCCCATGTTGTCTTCTACCCCATGTCACTCTCCTTTAACTCCTTTCTAGGGTTTTCAGCTTTTTCACTCACCCATCTCCCACTGATTTCCTTGTTAATAATTGCTAACAAGTCCAAACACTTTGCTCTGCTTCCAACAAAAAGCTCAGGAGGATCTAACAGCATTTCCATCGAATTCAGCTCATCACAAACCCACCCATTCCTGTCTGATGGAAGGATCACTCTCTGCTGCAACCGTCCATTCCCTCAGCATGCCAAGTCTCATTTGGACTGGGAAGACCTTGGGGTGGGGATGTTGAGTTTACACTCCCTGGCAGAATACAGGGAGACACAGATAAGGTGAGCAAGACTTTTTGGGTCCATGGATTACAAACCAGATCATTCTCTGTCTCCGCAAATTTGCAGATGTGTTGAGCTGTGGTTTTGTTGACTGCTGTGACCCTGATTTTCCACCCTGAGTGTCTGTGTGCTGCCTCACTGGCACGCTAACCCTGGCTGGGTGCTCTGCAAGCAATTCTCCTCATAACCACAGCAACAACAGTGCTACAGTGACATAAATAGGCTCCTGTAAGTGCACACTCTTACTTTGATTTAATAATAATAACAGGAATGGCTGACAGGAGAAACAACTGAGCAAAAAGGCAGAAATATTTAACTAATGCAGACCTTTTCATGCTTGTGCTTCCACCACAGTAAACAGGCCATGCTGGAGCCTGCAAGTATAGGCAGCAACAATTTTGAGGGAAACTTTCCCTATTTTGAGGGAAAGAGGAAGATGTTTTCCAGTGGTCTATATGCCAGTTTTCAGAGCATGGGTAACATGTAAGTAAAATATTTTCATTGATGAGGAGGAATGAGATTGAGCTGATGTAACTACTGAATCAGGCAGGATGATTTACCAAAATGCAATATTAAAATACTTTGCCCCAATCCTTTAACATAAAGAAATTTGAAGACTGAGAAGGTAAGAGTGCATACAAAACCACCACCATTATTTTAGAGATGCAGAGACAGTAACCTGTTCCAAACAACCCTGTTGAGGAGATGTAGAATGGAGTGGGGCTGGCTGCAGAGAATCAGGCTGCTGATCCCTCCAGTGAACCAGAAGTGTGCTCAGTTTGGAGCTGTGTGAGGAAAAAGCCTCATTACACCTTGCAAAAACTTCTTTTCTGTGACAGACATTAATCCAGTCTGCATGGAAGGAGTATTTTTTAACTCAGTGTTTAAACAACTTAATCACAAAAGGGGGGTGTTTGTTTAGGAGCCAACAATCATAATTTGATTATAGCAAGGACAGTTGTTATAAAAAGGACAAAGGACAGTCCCAGTGAGGGAAATTGTCTCTCTTTCTCCCCCCATCACCCTCTCTCTCTCTCACACACACACACACACACACTCTGAAGCTTAGGAGAGACCTTCTCCATCAAGATGGGAGGAATGACGAGAAAATTGCGATTCAAAAATAGAGATAGATATGGAAATGAGAATACTTATGATCTTACTCCATAAAGTCATGATTGCTTAATTAACAAAATGGCCAATTTTGGCTGAAGGATGACTTTGTCTCAGCAGCAGGGTGAAGGAAACACTCAGAAGTTAAAAGCATGGTATAGAATAATGTAGAAAGGCAAAAATATAGGAAAAAATGTTCTGTTCATACAAAATATGAAGACTACAGAAAAAGCATAAATGGTGTGACTACAGACAGTAAAATGAGGGGTGCAATAATGCTGAAGTGTATGTCTAGAGATGGTAAAATAACACACAAGTGGCAGAAATGCTAAAAACCTTTATTTCCTCCTTAGAAATATTAAGGAACAGACACTTTTCTTATCTTGCAGAAAAAGAAAAGAAAAAAGAAGCACTTTTCCATCCATTAGTCAGTAATGAAATTGGTTGGCAAGATTTACTAGAGCAAACATTTTAAAATTAGAATATCTACAGAACTTTTATATGACAGTGTTTGAATAACTGACTAAAGAAATTCCATGAATGTTAATTCTTAATAATCGCAGAATCATACAAAGGCTTGTGTCAGAAAGGACCTTAAATATCATCTAGTTCCAACCCCTCCCTTCCATGGGCAGGGACACCTTCCACTAGATCAGGAATATAAATGAAATTAGAGGGTCGTGCCAATATCCAAAAAGGACAAGAAAGAGGACTGAGTTGCCCAGGCCATGAGGCTGCTCTGCCTGTGACAAGCATGGAAAAGGTGACAGAAAATTAATTAAGGAAGGATGACAGAATAACAATTTACTCAATGCTTGGCAGAATCTGCTCTTCTAGAAAACAGGGCGAGCCAGACAAACCCAATTTGCTCCTTCGATGGCATTACACGTTTGGCATATAAATGCAATCACATAATTGTCATTTACTCAGATGTTTGCCCAGAGTCTGATTTAGCACCTCCTGGCACTGATTAAAAATCAGCATAAATCAAGCCCTGGGAAAGCTCATCTCCAGTGGGATTGGCAGTGGCCACAGAGGTGCCAGGGGAAGCGTGGCAGGGTCAGGTGCCCATCCCCACACCCAGGGGCTCCCCATGGCACACACCCCACCCCAGGTTTGGGGCACAAAGGTGAGCCACCAGCTCACCACCTTCACCAGCAGCTAGAGACCAAGAGGACACTGGTGCTGAAAGACTGAGATTGCACAGGTGAACTTGCCAAGGGAGATATATTTATGCAGCTGAATAACCATCTTCGAAAACAAGCAGCAGGATGGAAGCAAAAGTAATGAGAGTAAGGACTGGCAAGGAGCACATGAGCCCTGAATTTGGAGTAGAGACACAATCTCTCAAAGCGGTTTGGAAACACAGTGAATGACAAACATTTGTGGCTCCCAAACTCTCCCTTTCATCTCTTTTCATTAAAACTAGATTTTGACATTTATCCCGATTTGCAGCCTGGTCAAGAGTGAAGACACCCAGCTTCCAGCTCTCTGTCTAAACTCATGCCTTCTCCCAAGAGTAAAGCCAGCTTGGTTTTATTAACCTGAGCACATGTTCTTATAGAGCGAGGCTGCTGACTGGACATGTCACTGTGGACATCTCACACCACCCTTCCCTGGCAAAACCAAAGAATAAGACTCTGTGTAGACTTGTCATCCTTTTAATGGCGATGTAGAAAACGCCAATCACTTGTTTTTAAAATTTTAAAAGTTTAATAGTAATAAAATGGTTATAAAAATAGTAATACAATTAGAGTAATAATAATTTGGACAATTTCAATTAGGACAATATGAGACAATACAGACAAAGAGTGAGGGACGTCTGGCTACCTTTTTCTGGGCAGCATAAGCCCGAAAAAGGACACCCATTAACAGAGGATTAACCCTTAAAAACAACAGCCTGTTGCATATTCATACATTTCTTACATGATGCATAAATTCCATTCAAACACAGGATTCTGTCTGGTCATCATCAACTTCTTCCTCTGAATCCTAATGGCGCCTTTGAGACAGGAAGAAGTTTGTTTCTTCTGATAAGAGAGCAATAAATTCATTTTCTCTGAAAGATTTAGGTGTCCTGTGGCTGCTATCTCAGTGCAAGTCCTTTCTTTTAAAAAACTATCCTACATAGCATAGTTTCTATTTTAACATTTTTTATAACCCAAAACCATATTTAACACACTACTTAAGAGAATTTATACAGCATTACTTTCTAACACAGCACATATCATATTCATTTTAATATTTGCAAAAAACCAATCGTAAAATACTCATTTTTCGCGAGGATAACCACTCTTCTCATTTCCTTATTAGATTTACGCCTCTAACTCCAAAACTGCTTACAACAGGGAGGGAAACAAATGAAAGAAAGGGAGTCACAACGAAAAGGTTTTGTTCTTGGCTCAAGGAGGGTGTGACCCCCTTATGGTGTGATCCTTGAGGGTCAGGTGCGGGCCTCTCGTGGTGTGATCCTTGAGGGTCACTTCCAGCTCGGGATATTCTGTGATTCCGTGGCTCCACCATAGCGGGGACTGGCGAGCCCCACAGAAAGCGGGGAAGGAGGACGAACAGCAGAGGGAGAGGAGGAGAAGGAGGAGGAGGAGGAGGGGGAGGAAGGTCCCTCCCTGGGCCGCCCGTCCCGCCCCTCGCGTCACCCGTGCGCGCCACCTCCGCTCCGGCAGCGCCGCCGCTTCTCCGGCCGCGGCCCAGCGCGGGGTGAGCGGGGCTGAACGGGGCCGAACGGGGGTGCCGAGCTCCGGCCTCCGGGTCTGAACTCCGGGGTCTGGGCTCCGCGGTGCCGGGCGGGCCGTGTCCCCGGGAGCCGCAGCTCTCGGCCGCGTCCCGGCGCTCCCGTCCCACAGGGAAGCGGGGCCGGCCCGGCCTGAGGGCCCGCCGCGGGTTGAGCTCCATAGCGGCCTGGTCTTCCCCCCATGCTCCTGGGGAATGAGCGCTCTCCTGGCGTGTTCCCAGTGAGAAGGGAGCGCTCCGAAACAAGCGGGTGGATCGGGAATACAGAATGAGCCAGCCCAGGGGGAAGCAGGGAGCCGGCAGCTGTGGAGCGGCAGCACGGAGCGCTGGGTTTGGTTTAGGTGTGCCGGCTCCGAGTGGCGATGCTGGAGATGTCATTGCTGGAAGTGACAAAAACAAAAGTACTCTTTTGTGTCACAGATGTGACATCTCACAGAATCACCCTAGAACAGGCTATGGATAGCTTTGGGAGTCTGCAGCCTTTGCTTCGCTTCTCTCCCAAGTGTTCTTACTCGGGCAAGGGTTAATGGAGGTCTCCAGCCTTAGCTTGGGGTGTTACGATTCTTTAGAGAGTCAGAAGTGAAAATCAGGTTATTCAGACCACAAATTTGCGTTATTCAGGAGCTAAAGGTGTTTTTATTTTAAGGCTGGAGTAAGTAGAGATTAAGCAAGTTGTGTGTTTGTGATAAAGACACAGTTTTGGAGTCCTGTGATGAAGAGTTTGGGGGACAGCTTGTTGCTTTGTCTCTGAATGCAGGAATTAGAACAGGCTGTTTTGAAAGAGATGATTTACCAAAATTTAGTGATTATTTCCCCCTGTATAGATGCTTACGTTGAAGTGCTGCCCTGCAATCATTTAAGAGCTTCTGTGTTCTCACACTAGGCCTACTGCCTTAGCTCAAGGTCTCTCTGATGCTTTGCCTTCCCTTTTTTTACTTTCACCATTATTCTCTCTTCTCAAATTACTTGAATTATTTTCATGCTTGATTTTTTTCCTGCTTCCTTTAGAGTGCTTTGCCAACAGGAGTAAATCAAAGCAGGTCCTCCAATGAGCACATATATGTATGTGAGATTATGAATGCTCCAAATTTGTGTTATTAAACAACAGGCTCTGTGTAATCACACTGAAGTGGACTTAGCACTGTCCTGACGATTGCTCTTATCCATGATCTTTAATTTGTTATGCTCATATTCTGGAATCACCTGTGCAATATTTTTTAAAACAAGATTTTTAAACTTTTACCTCAGTGTCATGCTCTTGAAGGAACCTGCTTAATTTGTCTGAAGACTTATGTTATCAGTCATTCAAAAAGGCAAAGTAGAGACAAGATACTACTTCAAATACAGGATTATGGGATTCCTATTTGTCTACTACAACCAATCCTGCAAAGAAAGAGTAAAGACTTAAAATGGGGAGGATTAGAAAAGCTGAGAGAAAACCCTTCTTATGCTACTTTAGCAGAGTGGATGTGTCTGGTGGCCTAATACCAATGGTTTTGTCTTTGGGGCATTTTTGTTGCAGAGGTTTTTAGGTGAGAGATGACTGAAAGAGAATAAGCAGGGAAGCTGCTGATTTATTTTCTTGGAAAAAAGAATCTGGCATGGAAAAACTACTGTTTTCCTCTTAAAAAGAACAGGTATCATGAGAGACTGAAAAGAGAATGGAGAAAAAGCTGATGGAGATGATCAAGGGGAGGGAATTGAGTTGGGAAAGATCTGTGTGATTCATGCAGAGAAACATGATTTGTTTATAGTCCATTGTTACATGGATGATAACAATGTTTTAAATAGGGTGAGAAATTTTCATGAGGAAAAACTTCCCAGGTCATTTTCTCTGTATATTCAAGTGGTGCCTTACCCTGTGCAGCAGTTGGTGGTACCACACGGGTGCAGTTTTTGGCAGAGCTCGCACTGTAATTGTTCCTTTGGATGGAGTTTAAGAGTTGTCTTGAGCAAGCTGAGTGATTTCTGCTAATAAACCATGCTAGCCATGGTAAATTGTGGTGCAGTGCACTTCTATGGTTGGTATTGCTGTCTGTAGGCTGGGAATTGTCCCTGAATTTGTGGTGCACTTCGCAGGGGTCTTAGGGAAGAGACGAGAATGTGGACTCCATGTTTCAGAAGGCTTGATTTATTGTTTCATGATATATATTACATTAAAACTATACTAAAAGAATAGAGGAAAGGATTTCATCAGAAGGCTGGCTAAGAGATAACAAAGGCTTGTGACTGACCAGACAGAGCCAGCTGGACTGTGACTGGCCATTAATTAGAAACAACCACATGAGACCAATCACAGATGCACCTGTTGCATTCCACAGCAGCAGATAATCATTGTTTGCATTTTGTTCCTGAGGCCTCACAGCTTCTCAGGAGGAAAAATCCTAAGGAAAGGATTTTTCATAAAAGATGTCTGTGACATGGATTTATGCAGATGTTCTTTATCAGCAGGATTACACGCTAAAGTATTAGACTGATTTTTTGCAAGGAATGTGTGATGTCAAATGAGTGCTCAGTGTATGATACATTCCTTTGTTTGCCCTTAAATCTGGGGTAGCTGGTTCTGCTGTGAGCTGGGTGAAGAGCTGTGTGTCTGCTTTTGCAGGAAGGTCCATCTGTGTGTGTGCCCAGTGCTCCAGGGGAGATGTCCAATGTTTCCAGCTACGCCCTGCGCATGGCCCGCCTCAGCGCCCAGATATTCGGCGACGTGGTCAGGCCCACGGACTCCAAATCCATGAAGGTGGTGAAGCTGTTCAGCGAGCAGCCCTTGGCCAAGAGGGACGAGGTGCACAACTGGTACCCCCCTCACAACACCTACTATGCCCTCATGAAGAAACTCCGCTACTTCGGCCTCTACAGGTGCTTGGAGGGTGGGATGGGAAAGGGGTGGGTGGGAGTCTTGTTCCAGCTGTTTCCAGGGGGATGGAAACAAGAGAGGGATTCACAGAACAACCAGTGGTGAGAACGTGGGGTGTGGAAACTGGGGAGATAGACATGGGGGCAATGAATTGGGGAAAATTTTGAGGGAGGGCCCTGAACTCCGACCAATCACTCGACACTCCTGCTGGAAGGTTCTAGAAAGAGGGGATGGGAGGCCAAGTGATTGACAGGGGTCCAGGGAGGAGATTGGGAAATGAATCAGCAGAAATTAGAGGATTGACATGGGGGAGGAGGGAAGCAGCTTGGGACAAGCCATTTGGAGAGAATGAGGATACACAGATCGAATCATGACAGAAAGGGAACAAAGGTAATAAAACCACCTTGGGGCTGGACAGACAAAGAGGACACAGTGATAGTTTTCCTCAAGGGAAGTGTTTCCTTCTGAATATGGTGCATATGGAAGTAGGCACTTGATTGTTGGCACTGAGGGCAATAAGAGCAAAAGTGACTGCTGGCTAACTTTTATCATAATTGGAAGCTTTTGTGAGAAAGACTGGAGGTTTAGTTGTGGGCAAGCAGTTACCTAAGAAATAGTTCCTGCTTTTGCTTTGTGGGGAAGAGAAGAAACCTTTCTGACAGACAGGAGATGCATCTGTAGTTCTGAATATGGCAAATGAATGTGCTACAAAGAGGTGATGTTAACACCAGACTTACCATATATTTCTGTCATTCAGCAGCTAATAAGTGAAATTTAGAAGAGACAGAAAGTCTCTGTTAGGCCAGAGGGCCTTTTTATTCTTCAAAATAAATTAAATTAAATTCAAATGTGATTTAAATAGTCTTGTTAATTCCCACTTCATCCAAACCAGTTGTCTAATTTCTAAATTAACTCCCACAGTCTGCATCAGGGAGAATTGTACTGCTGAAAAACATCAGCAGGAGTCAAATGCAGTTTTTTCACTTCAATCAGGTAGCTCTAAAAAAATCTTTAAAAGTGAGGCTGCAAACCCTGTGTAGTCAAAAGAGATTGCTAGTATGACAATACTAACCATCAAGGATTGCATTCAGGATGCTCTTGCTTTAGGTAGGTGTGCCAACACTTCCTAGACTGGCTGTTTGTTTACACAGAAAGCCTCAATGTGAAGCTGATGTTCTTCACTCTTCTCCTTCCCCTATTAAGTTCCTTCTCTAGCTGTATACAGAGAGTTGGAAGAAGAAAAAAAAAATGTAATGAAGAATCATAGACTAATGGGGTCGGTAATAAATCACAAGCTTTTTGTTTCTATTTAGAGAAGTTGTGTTTAAAAATAGCAGTGCAGCAATCTTAGGCCACATTGGATGCAGTTGTGACTTTTGAAAATCACTTTGCACTAAAAAACATGGGGACAGATTAATAGAATTTATTAGAAAGTGATTGAGGATTAATTATCCCTGTCAACCCCTTCATCCTCCTTCCTATTTTACTCTCTTATTATGATTCTCCCAGTACTGATGCCGTCTCCATAGCTCATTCCTGAAGTCACCTGAGAGCAGTGCCATGTGCTGTAATTACTGCTCAGCATGGCCCTGTTTCCCCAGGAGCTAATGGCCTGAACACAGGAACACAATGTGCTCTGCCTGCACTGCTGGGCTGGGTAACAAGGGGGAAAATCTTACTCTTGTCTCTTGCTGGTTTTTGCATTTTACTGCTCATTTAAGCAAAGGGGATCAAAAAATGCAATTGAAATAACACACATGTGCACACACCCTTTGTTGCTGAAAAGGGCAACCCTGTTAATTCTGAAGTGTCAGAGGAAATCTCTCATGTTATTATTCAGCAGTGACATGGAATACATTGCAGCAAGCTTCGGTTTGGACTTCACGGTTAAAAAGTTTTGATTTTTGTTTTTTTTTCATTAGCATGTAGTTCAAAGATCAATTCATATCTCTGGATCCCAAGAAAAAGAATAAACTTTATTCCTTCTCCCCCACCTAGGGATGAGCATCAGGACTTCAGGGAGGAGATGAGGCGATTGAAAAAGCTCCGTGGGAAGGAAAAACCAAAGAAGGGGGAAGGAAAGAGAGCTCTCAAGAAGAAATAGTGCTGCTTGAACAGTGTAACTGACTGCTCTGGAAATGCTGGGGAATGGCTGGAGAAGGCTTGGCATGTGGGCTGTGTGTGGGGCACAGGAAACACACTGTGAAATTGTGGACTCCGCCTTGGGAATGCACTTGGGTCTTTGAAGTTTTACTGGTTTTGAATTTCTATACTTCAAATATACTGTATATTGCAGCACAGTAATAAAAGGAAAAGTGCTCCGTGTTTTTCTTGAAACCACCTGCAGCTATTTCAGTTTTTCTTGATCTGGAAATTGTTTGCTTTTCATTGTCTGTTTTACTTTCTTGTGTTAATATCAACACTGTTTTATGTGTGGCCACAAAAAACCAAGGATTCCTGCTGCTGCAGCTGCTTGTCAGTCTTATCTGTTATAATTAGTTTCATTTCAGGTAGCTCTAGTGCTTTTTTTTCCAAGTTTTTTTTAAGGTTTTTAAGTTGCTGTTGCACCCTGTTGTTCTGTGCTTGTCACTGGGCAATACTTCCCAAACCACTGCCTGCCCACAGCACTCTCATTGTACCCTAAACTTTTAGACACTACAACAGAAGAGGCTGAAATATTAACTAAATCCATATAATAATGGAACTATTACATGCAATAATAGAATTTTAAATATTTTTCACAGTAAACTTATTCTGATTGCTTGGAAGACATGTATGAAACACTACCTAAGACAATGAACATTTTTATTAGCATTCAGTAGGGATTTTATCACTAGGCTCCTTTGGTTGCTAATATTAATCATTGGTGGATCTAAGTAAATTTCTAACAGCTCAACAGCTCTGCCTCACCGAGGTTATTAATTGAAGAAGTGCTGATTTTATTAAAAGGTGTTTCTGATGAGCTGCATAGCTCTTGTTCAGTGTCCTTACTTCATGTTACCTGTTTTTCTAAGCTCTAAGAGAAGCTGATTTTAGGAAGTCTGCAATGTTGTGGGAGAAGTACATGAGTTCTCGCCACAGTCAAATAAATGCTGTAGAAGTTAATATTTTATATTCACTGCTCTGTACTGCAGTGCTAAGTTTCTCTCTTATTCTAATTTAAAATCCTATTAGTAACTTACAACTTGTGCTCAACTGTAATGTTCTTAAGCCATTTTTGTGTTCCATCCATGTGTTGTCTGTGGGTTGGGACCTGTCTGGTGCTGAAGTACCTGCAGCCTGTGGTGGGCCTGCCAAGAAGTTTGTGGTTCCTGGGACATGAGCATGCAGCTGAGGGGAAGTGTCTGCCTCCCTTGAACACACCTTTGGGAAGAAGGGCACCATGAACTCACATTCTGGGCAGGAAAGAGAATTATCCAAGTAGAAAAATTGCTGCTGCCTGACACTTTCTGGTTTGGAGTGTGAGGAGTGAAAATAAGGACCCATTCTGAACCTCTTCAGCAGAGCTACTGCAGCAGCTCTGCACAGTTCTTGATGCCTTTTAAAATTAAATCCAAGATAAATAAAAATGTTTTCCCTGCTGTTTCAGATGAAAAATCAAGACCATCTCTTCTGGTGCTCCAAAACTCCTAAAGCTTTCACAGTATAAACACGCAAGGGACCAAAAAGTGTGCATGCATCAAAAAGGGAATTGTGGTTCTGTAAAGGAAGTATGAATGGTCTTAAACTAGGTTATGAGTAACTTATAGCAACACATAAAATACTTGTGCAACATGATGAAACTGATGGAAGTGCCTGTGAAGTAGGAGATGAGAGACAAATGGAATGAATCGTTGATTTTCACCTTTTTTGTGCAGCATTTACAAAAGCAAATGGATGGAGGAAAAAATAAAACAACCTCTTTCTGAAAAAGTACAAGAGAGGTTGCTTTGCCTAATTCTTCATGGTTTTTCTTCTGTAATACTCATTTGCTAGAACTTGGTCTTTTCAAAAATGGCTGTTTTCCCTTCTCCAAAGTTTCAGCCTAAAATAATGATGACTCAGCCAGTACTGGAGCATATCCTAGTGTTAGCATAATCCATTGCTTGCTGGGAGCATTAGCATAACTATTTTGTTCCAGAAAATACAGCCTTCTCCTTTCCATAGCTGGGATAGAAATAAGCACTTTCCTACCTCCCTTCTAACCTGTGCTCTGTCATTTGGGAATAGGCATGGCCTGAAGACTGCATTTCATCAGTCACAGGGACTAGACAGATTGGGAGTCAATCCTGAAGCACCACAGCAGGTATAATGCAGTAGGAGTATTTAAGGGAGGAAGGAGAGTTCTGGCCATGATCTGAATTGTAAGGATAGGAACATTTATTCTTTATACAACTATTGGTATAATGGTGTTTTATGTCCATCCATTTTATGTACAAATTACCAAGTTCAACTAGATCTTTATTTTCAGTTTTCCCCTTAAAATGATTTTTTTTCACCATTGAAACTGCTGTGTCTTGTTACAAAAGTCACTCTTTTCCTGAGGAAATGAAGTGACTGCCCTCAGAAGATGTATGCTTTAATTCTTGTTTGGAATAAACCTGGTTAGCTGACCTCCAAGGGGCTAACTGAGAGTGAAAACTAACCTCTTCCCAATCCTGAGCAGCTTCATTAAGGGCCCCTGTTTCTTTATTTTGCAGTGCTTTAGCTATGCCTGTCTTTAATTAGACTCTGCTATGATGTATTCATAGCTGCTGAGCACTGCTGTGATAATCACAAGCTATTTTGTAAACAGGCTGACCCAGTTGCTGTATATATCCTATAGGGAGTGCAGCTATTGCCAGAACCTCTCACTATTGCAAGCCCTGCAGACAGGCAGAAGCTCACTTGCATGTGACTGCACTTTGTAATGGTGGAAAGAAAATAAAAACCCTCAGTGTTGCTTTCTGGCAGAGCTACCATTTGTTAAAATCTGTGCTCTGCTCAGAAAAGTAATACCTTGAACAAAGTTTCTCCTAATGTGGAAAGAGTCTGTACTACTCATTAAAACAGCATGCTGGGTTTACACAGCTCAGAGTGAAATGCACCTGAATTTCTCTAAGGTTTTAGATAAATGCTTTGTCTTGCTTGCCTTTGCTTCCCCAAGAGTAAAATTAGAGTAATGATCACTTGGTGAACAGCGTCATGAGGTTAAGCTGCTTCCAGGCTGGGAGTTTACCCCAGGAGAACCCTGCCATGGGCAGCTTAGTCTGGCTCCTGGGGTGGCACTCGGAGCTCTGCTGGTTCAGAGACATGGCTGTATGCAACAGCTGAGGACATTTTTAACACAGAATCTAAGTGTGGTATAGTTCCTTTGTTTGCTGTTCTACTTTAGATGTTTAAAATGTCAAATGATGAAAAAATCCTGATTTGGTCAGAAAGTAAAAATTTTTTAAAAAATCACAGTTATTTCTTAAACTATAAATATTTTTGAAAATTTGAAGTATCTGTGTACATCTTCCTCTACCACTTTGAGTTTGAAGGCTATTTTAGGATAATTTTAAAAAATCAACAAAGACTGAAAACATTCACAAATTTAATGTTTTATGATTTTATGTTTTTGAAAAGATTCACAAACTTGAAAGGCTGCTTTGATAAGGTAATGACTGTGTTTTGTGTTCTTTCTTTTAAAGCAGAAAGAATAATATGCAAGGAAAATAAATGCTATGGGGATCTCAGATCAATTTCCTTAAACTCAGTTCTCCTCTGTAACTGGTTGTGGAACTTCTTCTACAGTCCTTTGGCAGCAGATTCTGAAAAGAAAATCCTTCAAGGGGACATTTTCTGTTCATCATCTTGATACTGAGTTGTGTGAGAGCAGAAAGTCTTCCTGGTTAACCTCCTGTAGGTACAGCATCATTTCTCTAAACTGTCCAAACAACAATGGAAAACTCAAAGGTTCTAATAAAACTTTAAGAGGAAAAAGGATTGTATGAGGCAAGTAAGAGAAAGCAGAAATGAGAACAATACCCTTGTCATAAATCCTAGAGGTAAAACTTGAATTATGTGTGTAGGTCAGCTATTTCCAATGGATCTTTACCCACAGCTGGGGTAGCATGAAAAAATGTGGTTTTGCCTTTTCACTTCTTTCTTTTCCATGTCCTTTTCCTCAAGTACAATAATAAAAATAAAAATAATAATAATGATAATAAGAATTATTATTGATTATTATAAATGATTATTAGGATTATGATGTCTTGAATACAAAGAGAAAGGAACAGACAGGAAAACATCTGAAAGAATTTCTTGTGAAGGCTCAGTCACAGCAGAGCACAGCAATAATGTGTTCAAATGGGGAGGAGCATGACTCTACACAGATGTTAGAGGGACATCACCACCACACTGGCTGGGAAGTTATTTAGGGCTGTCTAAGGGGATAAATATGAAGTCAACAGCATGATGATCATGACATCAAAGTGTCTTTATGCATACTGTGTTGAATTGTTCTGGGTGGAATACTGGGGAAAATTCCACAAAGTGAAGTACTTAGAAAAACTGAGAAGATTCCCAAGAAGAGGGTTTGGTTTATGTTGTCTGAGTCAGGCACAGCTGGGCTGAGCCAAGTATTATAAAATATAACACTGAGACCACTTCTCTCCTGGAGCAGGAGGAGGCAGACTGGATGAGCTAATACATTTTCTCACATCATAGCTAGGTCTTTGAAAACAAATCTCACCAAGAGCTAAAAAAGGATTTTTGTATCCATTAGGTTTTCTGTCTCTGCTTGAAAGTACTTCACTTCATCCCAGGGCTCCTGAAGCTGTTTGTAAATATTTCATAGAGTTCAGAGGGTCTCTTTCACTTCAGTTGTTGTTTCTGTGTGTCTGATGTTTGCCTCATGGGCTGCTTCAGTAAATAGGCTTTTAATGGTTTTAGGAGCAAAAAGCACCTGAGGTCCAGAAAGTCTAAAAGCCATCCTACTGCCACACACAGTGCTGTGTTGCTGCAAATATGTCATTGTCAGTGCAGCACATCCCTCTGTTTCCACTACAGTCTTGCCTGGATAAAAGTGAGTGGGGTCACTTGCCTCCCACCTTTCAAAACTAGATCTCTAAAATGTGATTCCAGCTTAAAACATCTCCAGAAGTGGCCTCACTTTAGAAGCTGCATAAATACTGAGGATCTCCAACTGGTATCAGTGGGATTTACCTCTGTGTACAGGTAAATCCAATGCCAGCCTTTGGCTGATACTGGCCTCTTAAAGACAAATCCTCATCTCTCCAAGACTCTGTGCATGCCAAAGGTGCTTCCCCAGTGACATTCCCCAGCTGGATCTGATGATCCCTGTGGGTTCCTTCCAGCTCAGCATCTGTGATTCCGTGTGGATCAGAGCTGTGTAGTGCTCTCTGGGTGCCATGCATCGGTTTCTGCAGAGGAGAGAGCTTCAGTGGCTCTGGGAGAGCCTCATCCATGAGAGGCTGTGCTGGCACCTGGTGATGGTGGCTTA